CATACTGTGTTCGATTTGTATTTTGAGTATGTTGGGAATCTAGAGCTCAGAATGGACTAATTCTTACGAAATGCCTCTCGATATAATATGAGGGTTAGTATGACATTATCTCATGATTTCTTCATATGATTTTCTTTCTTTATCCATATATTTCGTGGGGGAAATTGATGTTTTATCAATTTGAACTCAATCTTTTTATGAAAAATGTATCCTCAGGTTCTTTATGTTATGGGCAAACAGATTTTGGGATAAACTTTTGATTCATCAATTATATTAATTATATTAACTACTTACTAGTCTTTGATGCGTGCTTCACACAAGATTTACATGAAAATATTATGTACGGTATGTTAATAAATCACACAATAATAAGTATCACAAACTACTCAACGAAAAAATATACAATCTGGAATATATGAAAAATAAATCTATTGCTTTATAAAATATGTAACCCCTAAAATTAAAATAACTTTTATATCACATAGAATAGTTGAAAACGTAAGAAAACTACATAAAGCCTTTCATACTATATGAACTTTATGAAATTTGTGAAATTCATGCGCCTAAAATAAATTACACTAATTACTTATTGCGTAAAAAGAATCATTATCACACTATCTAATTCAAAGACTTGCTTATATATTTAAATTTATATAGAGATACATTAAAAAACACAATAAATTATCATAAAATTACACATTTAATTTTGGGGGTTGTAAATACAAAAGGAATTAAAATTATGCAGATTATTAAAAATATAGATTTTGAAACTGAAGAGGTGCGAATTATTGAAATGTGACCTTTTAGTATAGAAAAATGATGGAAAAAAATAACAAAACTTCTATGTCATATATATGCAAAGTTAATTAGAGCCTCAATATCTAATTGTGAAAATCAGAAACACATAAATTATTTTGTAATAGCTAAAATTTCAAATAATTTCAAGACCAATGAACATATTTTGAATATTTGTGATCTCAAAAAGAAAGGAGGAAAAATAGATTGTCAAGTGGTAATTGATCCATATTATTTTTGATAATGACTTATCATTCAATCAAATGTGTCATCAAACATTATTGGAATATATTGTCAAGTGATAATGGATATAAAATATTAGACTTATCAAAAATATATGCATATCAATGTGCATCAGTAGACTACAATTAACTTTTGTACCAATATATTTATCAATATCATTGTTGTTGGCCTTATAATTTGTCATAAACGTATAAAATTGATATTTCAATTTAAAATTCAGCCCAAACCCATTTAAATAATTAGTAGTAACACTTATTAAAAGATGAAACATAAAGTAATCAAAGAAAGAAACATGAAAAGGAAACTTACTTTAATGGCAAGTTGGTCTTTAATAAAAATGCAATATTACTTTTATAAATCCACATATGGTGACCCTTCATCTTCTATTACAACTCTTAGTTTTCTTTATTTATTAAAGCAATAAAGATCCAAACTTCGTTAAAAGTGATAGAAAAACTCTTAATCTTCCCTCTTTATTAAAACAATATAAGTTTAAACTTCGTAAAAAGTGAATAACGACATCTCTGTGTATATATATATATATATATATATATATATATATATATATATATATATATTGAAATTAATGGGTTTTATATTTTTCATTAATGTATAAGAATAATAATGTTGAATATAATATTGTAATTAATGAATATTCACAAATAATGTTACTTTATAAAGACAATTTCGTAACTCCACTTTTAACTTGAGTGTTTCCCACTTATAATAATACTAGTTTTATGAAAAATGTGTTGCACATTCACTTCATAATACTTGATACAATATTTGTATTGCAAGAATAAATTTGAATGAGACATATATTATTCGACATTCTTTATATATATAACTAAAGTGGCATATATGTTGAATATCGTCATGATCAACTCAATTGTGGTTAGAAGTCATGTTAATCTTGCTTCGATTAAACATGAATATAGGGTGAAAAAATAAAATGAACTGATTGTATAAATAATTATTAAAAATCATAAAAAAAAATATAATATCAAATTCATAATCACAAACAAAAATCTCGATAATATAAAAAAATTGAGATGCAAATAAGAAATATATGGCGTGTGGAAGGAAAAAGAAGCATGACAAGTATATATTTATACTAATAGGTGTAATGAATCATAATATTCTTTTTCAGCTTTATTTAAAATCATTAATAATTTGAATAATTAAGATAGTAACTTTTGTTATTTCATCACAACTAATAGAAAGTTGTAAGTTTTAATGTTACAGAAAAAGAAAAAAGTATTTAAAATCTAGTTTACTTTAAATTGACTTTTCTATATAATTTATTTATAAATTTATTAATTACATATTAATTAAATTAATAGCTAATTATTGTATTACTTTTTAAATCAATGTATAATTTATTTTGGAGTACTCTTTTTGCTTTAAACTTTAGCTTTTAACAAATCTAGGAGGTGAAAAGACTTTATAACTTTTTGATTAATAAATATTTAATTTATAACTTCGTGCATTGCACATTTTTCTAAATACTTTATTAAAAATTTATATTATAATATGTTTAGATGGTACATTTTCAATATTTTCTTTGAGCTATAATAAAGGAATCAAAACATACAAAAAAAAAAGACCAAATAATTTGAAATCAGAAACTTAAAACTTGATGTTAGTGACATAATATTTTAATTTAAAGAAAGCTTACACTCTCGAACACATATATAAAACATATATGTAATTAATCATATCTCACTAACTAATAATTTTGTATAAAATTAGAATTAAATTAATACGTACAACTTTAAATTACATCGTAACCAACCGAAAGGTATATATACGTACTTTTCACAAATTCTATCAATAATTTATTTCCACATAAATTAAAAGAATAATAATGTTATACTTATAAAATGCCATTGTATATGATCATTTTCATATTTTTCCAACTTTCTTTATTTATTTTTTTATCAGTGAGTTAGATTCACACTCTTCTTTTTTCCTTGTAGGACATTCCATTTATTGTTATGAATGTAATGAAAAAGCTGGAAGTCTTCTTATCCTTGTGCCAAAGACCTTTTTTTTTTAGAGAATCTAATTATTGTAACATCTCGGCTGCTCCACTCCGCTGCGCTGCGGTCTCATGAACTGAACTTCGTTGCAACTTCTATAAAATTATTTTGTTTAAAATCAAACAACAATTTTATTAAGAATATATAAACTTGCATAGAAAAAATTATTGCAAGTAAGGAACAATGATTTATTATCTGAAAATTGATACCACTTGAAATAATTTAATTTGAATTGTTTCACTTACTGCATCATCACTATGAAATATTAGCACTATTTTTTAATTGTATCGATTTGCATTAAAAAAAATCAAGTTTAACAAAATGTAATGGCATGTTCAATAATTTAGATGTGTTCAAATAAAGATAAAAAAAACATTTAGCATAATAAATTCATATAAAAAAAATGAAGATAACATGATTACTTGATAAAGTAGAATATATAACATAGAAAAATGAAGATTCTGCTAATGGAAGATAAAACACGTTACAAATTAAGTAAACCAATAGCTGACCTTTTAGTTTCTTTAACCTTAACACCTGAGTTTTTGTTAAGGAGCATAATAAAAATAGATTACTTAAAATGCTAAATCATTATTGCTCTTATTTTTCTATTATTTAATTCATTCCTGTGCATGTTTGTTTTCCAGAATATTCCAATGCATGTTTACCTTTTTAAAAGGATAATGCACAAGTATCCCCTCAACCTATGTCCAAAATTTTCGAGACACACTTATACTTTATTAAGATCCTATTACCCCACTGAACTTATTTTCTTAATAATTTTCTACATCTTTTTGGCCTAGTGGCACTATCTTGTGGGCCCAAAGCTGGTTGACTTTTTTTTCAAGCTAGTGCCACGTAGGTCGAAAAAGGTGTAGAAAATTACTTATAAAATAAGTTCAGGAGGATAATAGGACCTTAATATAGTATAAGTGTGCCTCTGATATTTCGGACATAGATTGAGGGAGTACTTGTGCATTTTCCCTTTTTAAAATAATGATGATAAATTTGCACTTGCAAAGATGAATTTGGTCCTTATTGTGTTATTAATTACAATAAGTATAATACAATAATATGATATGAACTAATATTTTAAAACTAATTACTGAGTAATAGGATAAAATGATAATTCAACTTTGCCTTTTGGAGGCTCCCACTTTTAGTAATATAGATGATATGATATGCTTGAGAATTTGGGGGTTTTCAATTTTGAAAAATTGAGGACCTTAAGGTCTATTTCAACTCATTTTTCGATGAAATTTCATATTTAAACTTCCCTAAGATTGTGTAAGATATTTTCAATAAATATTTCAGATTACAGCCGAGGTTTCGGACCTGAGTATTGAAGATTTTTCTTTTGAACATATGTTTTAAGTAAATTGTAATTTTGAGTATGATTTCATCTTATTTTTTGATGTGAATTTTATTATTGAGTTTTAAAACCTTTGATTAACTTTATTTTACATAAATGTCCAAATTTAATCCTAATTTTTAGGGAAAATGTACAAGTACACCCTCAACCTATGTCCGAAATTCTAGAGACACACTTATACTATACTAAGGTCCTATTACCCCCTGAATTTATTTTATAAGTAATTTTCTACCTCTTTTAGGCCTACGTGACACTAGCTTGAAAAAAAGTCAACCAGCATTGGGCCCACAAAATAGTACCACGTAGGACGAAAAGACGTAGAAAATTATTAATAAAATAAGTTCAGGGGGGGAATAGGACCTTAGTATAGTATAAGTGTGTCTCTATGATTTTGGGCATATGTTGAGGGGTACTTGTGCATTATCCCTATTTTTTAGGAATGGGTTTTAAGGCCAATTTGGCTTGTTTCCAAAATCATGGATATGAGTGTTATTGGTTCTCTATTTTTATTGTGATTCCATTTTTGTTTATATTTTTGTTATTTGAAGACCAATCAAAAAGGGAAAGCTCAAGTGCTGGGTTGAATGGTCATTTTTTCAAGGCAAGTGGCTTCTTGACCCTTTGTTACGCATATAGAATCTTGTACTCCTTATTGTGTGTGATGGGAAGTAATGAAATTTAGTGACAAGCTTGATATAAATGAAGCATGATCAAACAATGATTTTATCTTGGAAACCATCCTTATTGTAGAGAAGGCAAAACCGCGCCAAAACTTCACTAACTTCAATAATCAATTTTATATTACAACTCATTAATAAAAGGGACTAACTATAGTAACTTAACTTTCAATAATTAACTAAAATTGAAAACTCTACTCACCAAGAATTCAACCCCTCTTCTTGTTATAATTCTCTCTAACTCACTCTGTTGCTTTGAACAATAACTCCTAAACACTGATTCAAAGATGAAACAATGCAAACTAAACTTCACAAAGAAATCCTAACTCTAGTTATTCTTTCTTTTCCCTTTTTGATATCTAAGTTACTCTTCCTTTGTTGGAAAAATTCTCTTGATTTGTGATTGCAAAAGCCCATCTTGTCTTCTTTGACATTGTTTTTTATCGAAATGTATTAAACCTTGGTAAAATCCTACAAGGAAAGCAATTATATATTTATTCTTAGAAATATAGTCCCTTTCCTAATAGAATTTGTTTATCTCTTTCCTTTTCCGTATGGAGGTCATCTGCCATTTTATTTTTCCTTGTTTGTCAAGGATTATTGTTTAAAATGGCAGAGAAATATCTTGAGTGGAGTTGGGTTCTGAAGGCTAGCAGACAAAATTTCCCCAAATGTGTACTACTTAAGGTAGCTTTTGCAAGTGTGGTATCTGAACTGTGAGTGGAAAGAACTTGTGTAGAAGAAGATGAATCCATCAATTCCCGAACAAATAGTCATTCAAACATTCACATGGCTTCCTGTCAAATCACTAATGCATTTCAAGTGCGTTACTAAATTCCCCTTTTATACCCCTATAGATTTTAATATCAATTGCATTAAAGGTTTATTTTGCATTCAAAAACATGCTGCGATTTAAACCCTAGTAAAGGATAAGTAAGATATCTTCCTAAACTTCCTTTACTATTGGTTAGATTTCCAGCCAAAAGAAAGCAAATACAATGTTCTTTTAACACGAGATGCTAGCGGATTTTACGTAAAACAGTGTCTTTTTTTCACATTAGGCATAGACAAATAATGGAGAAAGACTCAAAGGATTTTCATATTTTTTTCATACAAGCCCGGGCTTTGCATAAATTGTAATATGTATAGGTTTGTTTTCCATGGAGGAAAACATGCTATAGATGCATTTGATCTTAAAACTGGGTCTGTTTGAATCATATCTAATGTGTTTTGTGTTCCTACTTTTAAAAGCAATTTGTTAAGTGCCGGTTAACTGTTAGAAAAGGGATATGTGATCATCTTAAGGAATGCTACATGTGAAATTTCTGATCCTTCCAAAGGAATTATTGCTATTTTGAAAATGAGTCAAAACAGGTTGTTCCCTTTAAAGATTGAAAATGTTCAATCTTGCTCTATGGAGGAAGTGAAAAACCCTTCATGGTTGTGGCATTTTCCATATGGTCAGTTGAAAGGTTGAAGATCCTTCAAAGGAAGAGTATGGTGACGGGTCTACCTAAAATTGTTGTTCCCTCCCAAGTTTGTGAAGAATGTGTTGTTGGCAAACAACATCATTCTCAGTTTCCAAAAGTAAGTCTTTGAGAGCCAAAGAGGTGTTGGGGCTGGTACACTCGGATATGGGTGGGACAATAACACTAATCTCTAATTGAGGTAAAAGGTATTTTATAACCTTTACTGATGACTATTCAAGAAAGACATGGGTGTATATTCTGCAAGAAAAGTCGGTTGCTTTTAAATATATTTAAAAGATTCAAAGCTTGTGTGGTGAATGAGACTTGAAGGACCATGAAAAATCCTCAGACAGATCCCGTAGGAGAGTATTGCTCTAAGGTATTTGATATTTTCTGTGAAACTCATGGCATTTGTAAAGAGCTCATAACAGCCTATACACCACAACAAAACGGTGTGACAAAGAGAAAGAATAGAACCATTCTGAATATGGTTTGTAGCTTGCTGTCTCAAGGAAGAGTTCCAATGGAATTTTGGCCGAAAAAAGTAAATTGGAATATTCTGTCTTGTATAGAAGTCCCACTTTTGCTCTTCGAGATATGACACTTGAAGAGGCTTGGAGTGGAAGGAAATCTGCAGTAGATCACATTAAAGTTTTTTGTTCCTTTGCTTATGCACACGTTCCAGAAGCCAAAAAATGAAGCTTGATGATAGAGGTTAGAAATGTATTTTTCTTGGTTTTAGGGAGGTGTCCAAGACATAGAAGCTATTCAATCCATTGACAAAGAAAGTTGTGACCCGCAGAGATGTAGTTTTTGATCAGGAGAAAACTTGGGATTGGATTATGCATTAATCTACTACATTCTTGATTAATAATGATGTTGAAGAAGCAGTTGCAACACCCAAAATATCTACTGAAGAAGCTGATGAAACTTCACCATCAGGTTTGGAAGAAACTGTTGCAATAAATCAGTCTCTTTGTCGTGCTCACAGAAAGCCCGTGTGGATGATGGATTATGAGGTAAGAGGAATTAATGTTAATGAAGATGGTTCCAACTTTGCATAATTTGTAGATTGTGATACTACAATTTTTTTAATGCCGTCAAAGAGGGAAAATGGAGGAAATCTATGGATGATGAGATTGATGCTATCGAAATAAATAACACATGAGAGTTAACAAATCTTCTGAAGGGGCACAAAACCATATATGTCAAGTGGGTTTATAAGACGAAACTCAAAGAAAATGGTGAAATAGACAAGTATAAGGAGAAATTGGTGGCTAAGAAATACAAGAAAGAAAGTAGTGTGGACTACACGGAAGTATTTGCTCCAGTTGCAAGGCATGACACAATAAGAATGATAATTGTCGTGGTGGCACAAAATTTGTGCCTATCTTTTAATTGGATGTCAAATCAGCTTTCCTAAATGGATACTTGGAGGAAGAGGTATTTATCGAGCAACCTTCTGGTTACATAAAAGTTGGAGATGAGTATAAGGTATACAAGTTGAAAAAGGCTATTTACGGACTAAAATAAGCTCCTCGAGCTTGGTATAGTCGCATTGATTCTTACTTTATAAAATTTAGTTTCCATAAATATCCGTTTGAAAACTCTCTTTTTGTTAAAATTAGAGAATTTGGAAAAATGCTCATACTATGTTTATATGTTGATGATCTTACATTTACTGGGAATTATAGTGTCATGTTTTCTGTTTTTAAGAGATCTATGATGAATGAATTTGAGATATCTGATCTTGGAAAGATGCATTATTTTCTTAGTTTAGAAGTAGTGCAATTTGTTTATGGGATAATTTTTTTAAAGAATAAACATGTGCGGGAAATATTAGATCGCTTCAAGATGAAGAATTGCAATCCCATCGTTACTCCAGCTGAGTTTGTTCAGAGCTAAACAAAGTTGGAAGAGGAGATATGGTTGACAACACACTCTATAGGCAAATTGTAGGTAGTTTGATGTATCTTACTATGACAAGGCCTAACATCATGTATGTTGTTAGTCTTATAAGTAGGTATATGGAGTGTCCGACAGAAATTCACTTGATAGCTGCCAAGAGAATCCTTTGCTACTTCCAAGGAACTAAGAATTTTTGTTTGTTCTATAAGAAAGGTGAAAAATCTGATTTGATTGATTTTGCTGATAGCGATTATGAAGGAGATCAAGACGATAGAAAGAGCACTCCAGGCTATGTTTTTGTGCTAGGCACAGGGGCTGTTTCATGTTCTTCTAGAAAGAAAAATATTGTCACTTTATCGACTACTCAAGCGGAATTTGTTTGCTTCTACAACTTGTGTTTGTCAAGTTGTTCGGTCAAGGAGAATTTTGGAAGAAGTACAATTTAAACAAGAAAGATTAACTACAATTTTCTGCGACAATAATTCGTCCTTTAAGCTGTCAAAAATCATGTTTTACATGGAAGAAGCAAACACATTAATATGAAGTATTATTTCTTGCGAGATCTCAATAATGAAGGGACAATGGATCTGCAGTATTGACGAAGTGAAGACCAATTGGATGACATATTTATTAAACCTCTCAGGTTTCTCGCTTTCCAAAAGCAGAGGAAGTTGATGAGAGTCAATACAATGGATGAGTTCAAGAAGGTGCACTTAAACTGAAGCTTGACGACTTCCAGTTTAAGGGAGGGTGTTAGTTTTTAAAAATTCAGTTCAGTAATTAAACTTCTGTTAGAAATAAAATGCCTATATGTTATGTTTGTCCTAGTCTTTAGGAAGAAATTTAAACTTGGGAAGCTTTCAAGTTGTACGATTGTAGTTCCTAATTTTTAGTTTCAAGTTGTTTTACCATATAAAGAATTGTGTTGGCATCTCTTTAAGTAATTTAGTCAAAAACAACTTCTTCAATAATATTTCCTTTCTCTTCTATATCTTTTTTTAACCTACAGATATATTTCTAGATTCTATTTTTTCTATCAATGATGTAATATCATAGGACCTATGTCAACTTGCAATTTTAAATTGCATCTCTTTTTAACTTGCAATTTTCAGTCAAATTCTCTTCATTGCACCTCATTAGTAGCAACTTACTAATTATTGCTAACACCGGAAGCATTCAGAATTTGTTGCTGCTAACTCTCGATCATCTGAAACCACTAAAACACCTCTGTTTCCAGCAGCTTTTTGATAACCAATATAGCCTATAGAAACATCTATTTAGATGCACAATTTTTGTCAAATGTGACAGCAACCAATTGTCATCTAATGCAGTAGCATTACTTTGATAAACACCTTCAACCCTTCTTTTTTCATTTAATATTTCCCTCACTACACCCTATTTTTTTCAATATCACTAGAACCTTTCAAAAGGTCTTTACAGGTATATATCATCAGTTTGTTTGCTATTTAACATCAAACGTAAACCAAAGAGGTTTGTTTGTTCCGCCCTACTTAAGAGATTTCAATGTAGATAGGAAGAATTGAAAT